TGACGCCGCTGGCATTTTCCTTTCTGTCGGGGGAGCGGTTGGGGAGGGGCGCCCGGTCTTCCCTCTCTCCCTGGGCTGCGCCAGAGCTTGGGGTCCCCAGTTTTGTGGGCGACGTTCCGCGTCCGCTCCAGGGCCTGCTCTGCGCTCCCCTTCAGGTCTTAATGGGGTGCATTCTCGTGGCGGACGGGACGGGGATGGGTCGCAAGTCTCGGACCCAGGGCAAACGCTCGGGACCGACGTGGGAGATTTCAGCTCTGTGGCGACGTCTGCAGCCCCTACCCGGGCGCCCGGAGTGATGCGGGGGGGTCCATTTGGGAGGTAATGCCATTATTCCATTTCCCTTGCTGGCGTCAAAGCAGCGTTTGCCCCGCTCGCGTCCTTTGAGCTGGCCGGGTGCCTCCCCTCCCCCCCTCCCCCCCCATTCTGTACTTTGAGGGAACAGACGCAGCTCTGTCTGGTGGTGCGATACCAGTTTTTAAATTCTGGTTTCCCTGCTTCACTGGGGGATGGGGAAGGCAAAAGAGGCCTGAACGCCTTTCTTCTATGTCCCTCTGCAGGGTAGGAATTGTACAGCGTCCAGGTTGGCTGTAACTAAACCGTTTTTCATCTTTTCTCTCCTTCTAGGACCAGGAATTACTTTCTGGCCAGTCTGGTGACGCTTTGGCAGAAATTAAGAAGGAAAATATCCCCCTTAAGAGTAATTTAACCCTGCTTTTCTGTTTCATACATTGAGTGCAATAGTACAATGTTGTTCTGTTTGATTTATCTTTCTGTTATCTTGAAGGCAAAAAGCTAATTGCTTGGATGGACCCTGTCACCAGAGCCCTGCCAGGCAAACACCTGGGCATGGGTGCCATTGATGCTTAATACCACTGATATTCTCTAAAGTTCCAAAATAGGACTTAAAGGTAGTTCTATTTTACAGGTTTTGTATTTAATATTTTTTTCTTTCCAATGAATACAAACTTTTTTTTTTTGTTTACTGTTGGATTAACAAAATCTGGCTCTCCTATTCTGTTTTAAAGTTCATGTAAAGACTATTTTTTGTATGTGTCTGTCTTTCATTTGAGGAAAATTTATTTTTAGGTACCCTTCTGGTTCCCAATCAGCATTACATCAGGAGGTAGATAGTCTAGTTGTCACAATACATAGTTCCGAGCTCGACCACTGAATTGATAGTGACCACCAGATCCTTCCATTATGAAATGAATGTTTTTTCCTTGTTACCAGAAAGTAATCTACTTGGTGTTCATTTTTTTAAAAAAATACTTCTATTGATTTCAGAAAGGAAGGGAGAGGGACAGTGGGAAAGGAAGGGAATGGAAAGGCACAGGTGTACTCCGAGGAGGTAGAATGCCTTTTTGCAACTTTTAAAAAGCACATTTTAAAAAACTATGACACCAAGATATACATTTAAAAATGATTAAAATGGCAAGTTTTATGTTTTACATATACATTTATATATAATTGTTACGTACATTTTTTAGATATAATGCTGTTGCATACTTAAGACTACTATACAGTGAAAGCATAACTTTTATTTGCACTGGGAAGCCAAAAATATTTTGATATTTGCTTTATTGCAGTGGTGTGGAACTGAACCCTCAATATCTCCAAGGCATGCCTATAAAAACAACTATGAGATGAGATGTTACTATAAGTAACTAAGTATAATTGGGCAAAGTACCCTTGTGTGTGTGTGTGTGTGTGTGTGTGTG